TTTTTTGACTGACAACGTGACATGTTGAGACCTTCGAACTTAGACATAAAGAGCTTAGTGTCAAGAGGACCAGATGTGCGTTTGACATAACGATTACACTAATGAACCAAAATTTTGATCACATAAAAGACTGTTCCTGTCAATTTTGTTTGTCATTTTGTCATTTTCTTGTCATTTTCTTGACATTCTTTTAATGGCTTTCCTAGAACAATGTTTTATAATTGATATGTTGTCCCCGCATTACCTTGTCAGTGCATCTTATTTTATATACAGTATATAGACAGTTAAATAATTGACGTGTTCATTAGGAAAGAAATACCTGAGGTGGCTAGAGGTGAAAAAGGTGGAGGGGAAGGGGGAGGTTGGGAGAGACAGGGGGTGTTGCGGTCAAGTGGATAAGTCACCGAACCATGGCGACTTGAAGGTACCGGGTTCAAGTCCCTGCTACATCAGTAAACGTTCTTGTCGCACTCAAACCAAGTGGAAGTGAATGGGTACTCGCGACGTATTTTCCCCCCATTTTTTGGTTATTAGAGATTTCATTTAAAATAAATCATTACATAAACAATCAATGTATACAATTCACCCTACGCTAATATCCACCGCCAACCCTCCACCCCTTCTACTACTGAATCCTCACCCCCCCCCCCCACCGTAAACATTCACATTCACACTCACAAGCTCGCACCTTACGAACATACACAGGTTCACACGCGCACAGCACTGGACACATCATACCTGCTCACATTCATATCCTTCCTCACTTTTAGTTCCCCCCACTTTTGGAGGTGTTAATTCAACTTGCCTATCTTCATTGCAAAGTTTTTTTTCTTTCTCTATAAATTCCGCTATATAATTTTGTATTTTCACACTGGAAGGTACATGGCCTTGAGCCCTACAATGGAAAATTACTTATTTAATAAATAAGACGTTTACACACTTACACAAGCGCGCGCGCACACACACACGCCAATATGCACACCCACACACCGTCACGCACAACCTCCACCCACACTTATGTAGGCCCCTATGCTGGACTGCGACGTGTTTTGAATTGAATTGGTTTGGTTTAGTGCAAAAATACATCAAACAAGCCGCTCGCAGGCTGAAAATGTTCAATTTACAAACAAAGTTAGAATATAGAGAGATATAAACATATACAAAACTAAATTACATATTGTGAGTCAACTTTTGCAGAAATTATTTCGCATTGTTGAGATGAAATCGAAATTGCAAAACAAAGTTATTTGTTTAATGTAGTAATACACTTTTATGTTGAACTGAAAGACCAATACAGTGAAAAGAGAGCAAGAAATTGTGAGAGTGACTAAAGAACTAGAAAAAGAGAGTAGAGAGAGAAAGAGAGAGAGAAAGAGAGAGAGAGAGAGCGAGAGAGAGAGAGAGAGAGAGAGAAGGAGAGAGAGAGAGAGAGAGAGAGAGTGAGCAAAGAGTTACAATGAAGTATAAAATGTAATTTAGCTGCTTATATTGACAAAATGAGGATAAATTGATCTTTTGTGTTCAACAAATGTTAGTTAATATCATCTCATAGATGGTAATAAACAGGAGTAATCGAATGAAAAATTATGTTAGTAAGTGCGGATCGTAGATGATAATAAATAGAGAAAGAAATATGAAAAATTCTATTTGCAAACTTTGCAGTCAATAAAGTGTCAAGATATTCGGTAGTCGGTAATGGCCGTAAGTAGATTAAGGTCAAATAAAGCCTTCAGTTATATCTTGAAATGCTCGCTCACGGACAGATCCTTAATTGGCAGGGCGTAATGCTGTCCAGTTTGTGAAAGGGCCAAAGATTGACCAATTGGTGACCAATTAGATTAGGCAGTCCATTAGAAATGTCGACAGTGTCCGTCTTCATGATCTGCGCTCGGAGTTTGACATGGCTATTATTCGGTTTTGAAATGCACTTTGATGTAAAGTGGCATGTGACAATGTTAGGGTATGGACAAGTTGGAAACGGAAGTGGTTAACAGGGTAGAGATCAACATGTGAGGTTGTGTAATGGTCACGGGGTTGTATTATTGGGAAAGAAACTGTCCAGAAGTTACAGGAGAAGTTCACTGAATGTATTTATCCTGCTTTTCATCTCTCTCTTTCTCCCCCCCCCTCACATTTCTCCTTTGCTATCTTCTGACTTTTGCATCCTATCATGTTGTATTTCGTGTACTGGGCTTGTGACGGTTGTTATGAAATTTCTGAATGATACTATCCGAAACTTTACTTGCTACTTGTTTTCTTACTACATTTATTAAATATAATGTGATAGGATGCTGTCCAGAAAAAACCTTCTCTTGTTTTTTAATTTTTTATACAGCTGTGCCTTATTCTGTTTTGTATTAATTCACTTTACATGCATATGTTACCCCAATTTATGTATTATATTTTACATGAGATTGCATGTTTTTACCTTTGTAGAAATGTTTATAAAGATGGAATTCAATAAAATGAACTGAACTGAGCTGAACTGAACTGAACTGAACTGAGGTATGCCGTACAAAGTGATTATGATGGAATCTTCAGAATTGACTAAATCTTGATAACAAATCACTTACAGAAAGTATTGCTCACGGAACATGGTATAGGACAACAGACATACGTGGAATCAGAATGTTAGTCAAAAGGTTTTTCTTTTTTAAATGGTATTAGGTCACAATTGAAAAAGATACAGGAAACTTCAGGCCCATATTCCCACCAATATTATTAGGTACGATTGAAAGATGAGAGAATTCAAGACCAATGCTTTTAAAGTGAATTGCTGCTTGCTCTACCACACAGTAACAAATACAATTCAGAGGGCTCCCAAATCATTCGTCGCTCCTTTATCAATCTTTCTTGTAAAGACAATTGGTGTGACAAGAGCCGTGCACAGGATGATATTTTTCCGATTAATAAAGAAAAGAAACACACCAAAAGATAGAGGCTTGTGCATAAACAGTTTCTTAACACTATCTCTGTAAAAAATAAGTGCCAATGTGCTAGAATATATAATTTGTAAATGCAGTTGAAAGTAACCAGGAATACAAATATGCACACACACATGACACGAGTACGCACACGCGCGCGCACACACAACACACACACACACATACACTCACACCCATACACACACACACACACACACACACACGCACGCACTCACTTTTTTTTAAAAACAATTTTGTTTTATTTCTCCAAATGTGCAATACAAACCATAACATACAATTGAATAAAATAAACGTGTTCAATATTGATGCTTTTACATAAACCTAATTAAACACAAACTTATTTGCAGTATATATAACTTAGCAACAAAGTAAACTTATAAGTACCTACACATAATATGTCAATTGTAAATGTTATACACTTATATACAAACAAAAAAAACTTAAACAAATCTGGAGGTAATTTTACTGGAACAATCCTGCCCCCTCCCTGCCCCCCTCCATCACACAAAAATACTCACCCACCCACCCACACACATACTCACTCAGTGGATGTCTGCTAACATTTTCGACTCAAGAAAAAAATATACTAAATAAGTTATCCAGGCCGCAAAATAGAGTTACCCTTTTAACAGGCTCACGGTGGAGAAGAAGAAAACAATCTTAATTAATCTTAAGCTGCTCCCACTTTAAGAAATGTGATCCCAGCTTTCCCACTTTAATTTCTATTTTCTTTTCCTCATCCCTATACTTGAATTTTTTTTCTTCATCTTTTCTAAGGTTGGTACTCGCCCCCCCCCCCCGATCTTGACATAAATGTAACATACTTCACCATTAAAATGATAGTATTACACATTTTTATTCTATATGAACTACCTACCAACCCAACAAATATTTCTCGCCATTCTAAATCTTTAATTTCATCTAACTCAAAAAGTTGTATTAAAGCCCGCCATATCCTTTGAACGCTCCCGCAAGATAAAAATAAATGTTTGTATGTTTCTATTTCCTGCTTACAAAACGAACATAAATTATCACCTACAAAACCAAATCTATGAAGATGCTCATTAGTATATATGGCTCCATGCAATAATTTATATTGAAATTCTCGTTGTTTTCTAATGAGTATAGTAATTTTTGGTCTAACAAATATTTTTTTTAATTCTTTATCTATAAAATCATAATCATTTTGCCCATCCCTTACCTGCAAATCATACGTTTGTTGCAGTGCTTTGATAAAATAATCATAAATTGTTCTTGAACCCACATCCACAAACTGTATTTTTTTACTAGAAATATGGAAAAAAGGTATTAAAGCTTATCAAATCAACCTCGAGGAATTGTATTAACCCTGAATCATCCTTCCATAACCTGGGTATCGCATCATAAATATCAATAATCATAAGCAAATTATTACCTTTCATACCGAGGTTCATAAAATATTTAACAGACTTAACATGGCCTTTCTCAACCAAGTGATTCAGTTGAACAATCCCTCTTTCAAACGAGTATCTATCAAATATACTTTTTCCATTTATACATATATTCCGATTATTAAAAATAATTGGATTAATATAACCCTCCAAATATCTTAAATTACTTGTCTCTTGCCATGCTTGCAACATTTCCATATAGTATGGTGGAATATTTAAAACGAGTTTAATCTTTTTTAATTCATAATCACATAAAAAAATAAATCTACCACCCACAAACTGTAAGCAATGATCAAAAACAATTTCCATCCCAATTTTTTCTCTCCATATAAAAGACGTTTTATCCACATTATGCGCTGTATTTTAACAGACATTTCAAAATTAATCATTCTTAATCCTCCAAAGTCATAATCCTGATACATTATTGCCCCCTTAATTCTATCTTTCCCCCTCCATATAAATTCAAATTAAATTTTTGCAACTTCTTTGTATACCCAATGAGGGACAATAATGAGAGATGAAATTAGACACACACACGCACCCACACTGACACCGCACACACACTCCTCTCAAACACAATTCGACAGTCGAAATCCCCAAAACATCACATTTTGGCAATTTCAAATATCATATACGTAGATAATTTTATTTACAAGAAATGTATTTGAAAGACTTGCAATAAGACAAAAGTATTAAAAAAATCACCCACTACATTAGAAAAAAACTAGACATTTTTATCTGCACACGATGTGCTCCAATTAACAAATAAAGCCATTTTCTATGTTATTGCATAATCAGTGCTATGTATCCGTGTATCACGATGACTTAACATTTCGTAAGGCACTATTAATATTTATTTCATATTAACTGTTTATTTGCTACGCTTGTCATATACAATTTACATTAATTTCAATCGAACCCCAACATCTTACTCAAACTGATTACAAGAATATCAAAATATGTATTTCATACATTACATAAATCATAGAACCATGGAAAATGTCATTTATAAACTAGCATATCATCGTACAAAAATATTCACAAACGTTTAAGAAAAAGTTTCTTAGCTTAAAATGAGCAAATATATTACATGACGAATTGCATTTAAAGAATATTTGTCACCTACCTTAGTTTCAATTACTACAGTCATAAATATAATAATTTGTATTAAAATGATACAAATTGCAGGTGAAATAACAATGTTAATTTTAGTGATATAATAATGATAAAGTATAAATGACATTACAATCAGTAAAAACGATACATTCAACTCAATTAAAAAAATGACTCAATTAAAAATACAAAATGTATAGTGTCTATTACTTCTCATACATTTACAACTCCACACTTCGCTGCAAATGTCACTTAGTTTCATAGGTCGAATGTTACCACATAAGAAATAACATTAATCATGTATCTAGCAGAGTGAATGGTAATTAAAAAAATATTAAAATACATTTCTCTCCTTTTCTTTTAATAACGTCTTCTTATTTCCTATGGTGTCTCTTAAATATTCATGTTAAAGAGAAGTTATTATATTCATACAGAATATAAAACAGAATTATATTAAACTGACATGATGTTTTAAAATTATGGTAATTGTCATTTCTACAATTATATAGCATCCAATTTTTTAAAGAATGAGAATGTTGATTTTTTTTTCCCCTTTGTATAAAATCCCAAGTGAATATACAAAAATTAAGGTTGATAAACATATGTAATCGCCTTGATTCTGTCATCGTTGAACTATAACTTATAACGTAGTCATTACTCGAAAGATATTAATGCACCTTCACATCACACTTCATTATAATTCACTTCAATTATTGAAGTTGAATTTGATTAACTTGAAACAGATATATAGCTTGTAACGTAGTCATTACTCTAAAAATATTAATGCACCTTCAAACTTCAGTAAAAATCATTTAAATCACTGAAGTTGAATTCGATTAACTTAACACAGATGTGGACGTATTTTTTAAATAATTCAAATCCCCTTTAATTAATTAGTAGAAATAGCAGATGGAACTGTTTGAGTAAAATCATACGCTATTGATAGTATTTTAGGCAAAATTCGCGCACATAAATGTAGTTGTCTACCTCAGTAATTGAATTATTAATCAAATGAAATAAAAACGACTTATTTTGCTTTTTAAAATTGTATCTTACAAGTAGCTTAAAAACCACATACACCATAAAGTCCCTGAAAGGCACCTCTTGATCCAAATACATTTATGACAAAGGAAAACAAATGTTTTAAAAAATACGGAACAAAAAACAAGCTGCATTTTTAACGTAACCTTCATTTATGTTGATGTTATTTTGTCATTTATGGCAAAAAAACATGTCATTTTCTAATTGTAAAAAAAGAAATAGATAGTGTTAACAAACGGCATTGGACTATAATGCCATTTTCTTCATTGGGTATCTGCTGTTGCTTGACTTTGGTATTTAAATCTGACTGATAAGGCCAATGTGAATGGCGTTTATGAACCCAGTTATACAATGCTCGTACATATGACGTTCAGACTGGAGCAGTACCCTGATTCTTTATCGAGTTTTGGTTCGAAACGATGCTCAAACAAGCGTTTCGTTATTCATTTCTTTAGACGACGTACAGACCAGAGCAAATATGAAATTATCGTAGAGCTTTACGATTCTCGGGGGACGAGAACCAACGAAGCCTCCATGTCGACTGGGTCGTCGGCATGGGTCGAACTCTGTGAGGCCGTAATCTATAGGAGGTTGAGATTACCGGGTGAACCTTATGATGCATACATGTCTGAAGGTTTGTCTGACATAGCTACAAACTGATAGTTATACGCGGATCCATCGGATGTGTGCCGAGTCAAACGCCGGCCCTGTCGCCTGTGCAATCTGTGGCCAAAGGAGGAAAGGGTACAGAAAAAGAATGCAATGATTAGTATTATTGTGATCAAATGTAGTAGCGTTTGACAATCTTCATTTGAAGGGGAAGTCAACCCTGATATTAAATGGGTTTTAATAGAAGCAGAAATTTAGAGAAACAGGCTAGTGAAAGATTGAGCAAAAAACCGCTGAAAATAAGAAAGTTACGATTTTTAAGGCGCGATCAATCATATCAAAATTGGCAACTCAGTGACGTATCTTGATTATGCGTAACTAAAAAACTTCAAAAATCTATATTTACCATAAGAAAATTTGCAAACATAAATTAAATATAATTATCGCAATAGCACTATGCTTTTAAACAGCCCACTGTCATCAATAACTAAGAAATAACAGTCTATGAAATTTTATGTACATGCAGAATTAGAGAGGAACCCGCAAGATAGGTCAGTGTTGCCAATTTGTGTTTCACTGATGATATCTTAAGAATTCACTACTTTCCTATTTTTAATCCGATATTGCTCAAACTTTCACTAATTTGTTTCTCTTAATTTTCTTCTTTTATCAAAACCAAGTTAATATCCGGGTGGACTTCCCCTTCCAATCAAAGGAGAAAAGGAGGGAAAGCCCACACCCACTAATTAATTTGTTTATGATGATAATAGTAAACATTTTAAAAGGGTAGCGTCATTATTGTGAATAGAGTCATTGGATGGCAAAGTGAAAAAAGGCCGAATGGAAAAATAAAACATAATTAAAGATAACTGACACTTCAATACTCGGGAGGTTCAAAATTTACCAACTATAATCTCCCACTCTGTTGCTATAATATTGTTGTAAATCTGACACAAATAAGAGTTGGGACTTAAATAAAGCTAAAGAATATATAACGTATATAATATAAAACTGTTCCTTTTGTGTCATTTCAACGAGGCCTCCTGGAGGGATATGACCACTCTAACTTACTGGGATTTAGAATTAGAAAATGATTAATATAAAATGAAATACTGGTATATGTATATACTTGTGTACTGCGGAATTAAAGATAAAGTGGAGTTCTGGTCATGCGATTGCATTGTGAAAGAAAAGGTATGGAATGGATCAGAAAAAGTTAATCATGTAGCATGTAATTATTGGTGTGTACTGCAATGTTCTGGAGTCATCAAAATCATAAGAACTTTGGCCCAGTCTTGGTAAAGTAACAAGCACTTTATACATAAAGATGTATATGGGACTACACAAATGTTGTCGGGGCTACTTACCTTGATTTCCTTAACTAGCTATGCTCATTACTCAGCCAGTATACATTTTCTACCAAAATTGTTTGGCAAATGACATTTATTTGTAATCTTGAACAGAACTCTAGTTAATCTTTAAATGGTCAAATCTATAGTTTAAAAAATTGGTATAAGATACTGTTAAATACTAGATTATGAGCATTAATAATGATCTCCGTGAATTGACGTGACTGCTTCAAATGCAAGTTAACCATACAGGGATTAGTGTACGTGCAAAGGTTGCATTGATTGAGAGTAAAGAATAACACTCAGTTATTTTTATCTGCATTCAAATAAGTAAAGAGATAGTACGTACGAAGAGCACATACAGTAAAAGCCTAGTTTGATGACATTTAAAATAAAAATGGCTTCCTCAATTAGCAGTTCATTTGTACGATTTCATTCCCACTACGGGGAAAACAAAATTCAAAAGAAGATACAAAGCGTAATTGTGGCTCGAATAAAGGAACATAAAATGCCATAAAAATGTTGCCATGATAATGGGTTTTCCTCATCATAGAAAGTAGTTAGCCAAGCAATCTTTAACATTAGATACATGCTCATGCTATCATTGTTATGCAGTTGTCATTCACAGGTGTAAGTGAAATCGTGCTTTAAAATACTTCAAGATATGTTTTTTGCACAAGCAAAAAAAAATAGAACAAAATGCAAAAATTAACGAAAAACAACACTGTTACCATCCCTTCATGTCAAGAGAAAAAGTTTATGTCTTTGCGTCTCAGAAAATGTTCCTCTTCTCCTTTCACTTATCTCATTCTCTCTTTTCCTCTACGTTATGTCGATCTCTATTTCTCTCTATTTCTCTCTCTCTCTCTCTCTCCTTCTTTTTCTTTCTTTCTCTCCCTCTTACCCTAACTCACCCAATCTTTCTCTTCCTCTGCATCTCACTCTCCCCCTATTTCCATCGTTTTTACCACTTTCTCTATGTTCTAGACTCTCCATTATGTATTCCCTCCTCTTCCTCTCTCAACCTCTTGAAATCATATTTTACTACATGCAAAATAAGAAAAAGAAGAATCTACGTTATCTTTCTGAGAAAAATAATTAAATGAACAAAATCATAAGAGGATTACGTGCACGTCATTAGCATGATTAGAATAATAATCGTGCATAACAACTGTATTAAGTGTACACACCCACACCGAATTAGTGAAGTGAAGACATAGGAAAGCGACGCGTTCGCTTAGACTTCTTGCGGCTGTTAGAAGTAAAATATAGAGGAGTCAAACACATGGAATATAGAATGAGAAGATATTATTCATTGCACACGAGGCGTTATTTCGATTGCGTCAATACCTCAGCTGACCAAGCCAATACATGAATGTTTCCATGCGTCAGTAATGCAACGCAATGTTGCACCGTTCATTTCGCATGAATCTTGTGTGAACTTTGGTTGTGACGTCACGTTCACAAAATGCGTCAAAGACAGCTCCAATCACTGACGCAGCCTTACGCCAACAAATAGGGACTTTTAGATTTGCACGTCGACATAGTGGACTGCTACGTGTGACATCCTTTTAAGGCAATGTGATGTCCTTTTAAGGCACTGGCAGTGCCGGTAGTGCCTTGAAAGGAGGTCAAATTGCCAAGGATGTCACACGTAGCAGTCCACTATGTCGGCGTGCAAATCTAAAATCCCCTAGTGATGCCTTGTGTGCAACGGGCGTCATTTGTGGAGGTGGCGTGATATACAATGGACCATTCTCTTGACTCTAAATCCAAGGGTTGAGGGTTCGAATCCCAGCCCGGCACTCCGTCAATAGGCACAACATTAATCCACATTAATTTTGCCACTCCCGACCCAGGTGTTACTGGTACGTGGCAATTGCTGAGATATGTATAATTTTTAATACTGATGTGGCTACCCTGGGTAAAATCCAATCATTATTATTTGTCTGACGTAAGACGCGTAAGCGAGAGGAGCTGTCTTGTACGCTTATAAAGTAAATGTAGAAGGAAAAACGTAAGCAATGCTCTGACTTTCAGAGGCATAGGTCAATTGATTACGTTAGCTTGATTAAAGCAGGTAATAGCGCAACCGAAATGACGCTCCGTCTGCAACGGGCGTAATATAATTCCAATACTGGTTAAAGTGCAGCGGTACACCGTGTGGTCGATGCGGTGAGGGTGATGATGGCGGCCTCTTGTACAGTATAAAGCCAGCTTCCGCCTCTGCTAAATCATGCATGAGAAATTAATTCATTGGTTGAGAGCAATTTCCACACCCTCTTGTATTCCCTATTTAGATAATGTTCGAATCTTTTTACTATCGGGTCTTTTTGGTCGAATATTTTTCGAGATTGTGATTCATTCAAATTTTTCAAAAACCCTGATCTGCTTCTGGAAAAAAACTCAATAAGTCGATAAATAAAAAATGAATATATTTATTAATTAACTAATAAATAATAACTTTGAAGAACATTTGAACTCACGTGATCTGAATAACGAAGACGACGATGACCCAAATAAGAGAGGCGACATCGAAGAGGATCCACATGATCAGATAATGAGTCGGCGTCTGGAAAGAAAAAAAAAGGTTGAAAGAGAATACGGGTCACATATTAATAATGCAGTCACATAGTTTGGCACGCACGTTTGATTAAGAAAAGAGAAGCAACGAATCTGACATACTAAATCTTGCGATTCACTCTGATGAATGCGAGACAATTTTTTAAAGTATGTCTGTCTGACTTTTTTGATTTTGCAGTATAGTCTTCATGTATTCTTATCCCTCTTCTCTCTTTCTTCCCCTCTTCTCTCTTTATTCCCCCTTTTCTTTCTCTCTCTCTCTCTCTCTCTGTCCCCTTCCCTAAATTCCCCTCCATTTTCCCTACTCTGTTTTTTCAGTAATCTGAAATGTAATAAGTAACATAACAGATGATTATTTATTTTATCAATCATCTAACTTATTATGTTTTTAACAATCTATTATAATGCCACGCATCTGCCTCAATATCGTCGTTTCTCTTTCTCTCCTTTCTGTCACCTCTCTCTCTCTCTCTCTCTCTCCCCCCCCCCCCCCTCTCTCTCTCTCTCTGTCTCTCCTTCCTATTAATTCATGACTATGATATATGTATAGATTTGTAACACATTTTTGTTTGTGTGATTTTACTTTGTAAACTCCATGCAATTCAGCGCTTGGGCTGCCATGTGAATTTGAAGAAAATAACCAAATGTCAATTCAATTCAATAACAATCACCCCTTTATAGTATGAAAAGTTACAAGTCCATATTAAATCTCAAGATGATTAAACGTTTTCTTCAAATGTCCACTTCTCCTAGATCAGGTTGAGATGTCCAGTGTACTTGTATCTTTGATTTTAAACAACGTCGGGTCGTCAGATTGAGGGCTTTACAATTAAACTGTAAATAAGGTCTCCATCTTCAAGTGTAACGTGTTTTGTTAAATCATTCTCATTCAGTTGTATAATCAAGCTCGAGGGCCATGAGTAGCTGAATTGGCGTATCCGTACGTAGCCATCGTTTCTGCCGCCGATCACGGGCGTGTGACGTATGAGCGGAGTGACACACACAACTAGGATGGCTGGCTAAAGACTCGGTCGGTACTCGTGGTCCCTATGTTTAATTTTTTTCAGATATATTTATTCAATTTTAGAGCATTTATGACTTTACTATCGACACGAAAAATTGATACCAGTTATTTATTTTTTGATGACTAATTTTAGTTTGATATATTCGAAATAGACATAAAAAAAATCTGAAATTTGCCGATTTTCAAATCGAGCACACACTGCAGCAACAATCGTATACTAAACGCATCACCTGAATATAGATCACATCATGACGGCTGTGTTTGTAGCTGTGTTTAAAGAATTTAAAAACTTTAATCGCCGCAGCCATTGCCTAAACAGCTCTGGTTGTTAGGAATCAGGTGGAAGGACTTCTCGAGTCCTTTCCCGGAGGTATTTTTTACACCCAAACGCTTGGCAGTACACCATCTTCTTTGCGATAGGTACACACATGCATACACAATTCCTAATGCAGTTACCCTCGAACACGTCACAACTAGACAGGGGAACAGGCTTAGGCCGTGAAAATGGTGATTCTAACTGTGGTACACGACAAGACGACGCGTGTCATATTAAATTGTTAATAAAACCACCTCTGAAGGCCCCAATGAGCGAGTTTTAACCTCAATAACGCAACCTGATATATACTGACCCAGCCCCCCCCCCCCCCACCCAACACATCGTACTGTAGATCCGACATAGTTCAATGTCCTCATTCTCCTCTCCTCTTGTTTTTCAATTTTCAATTAATTTTTTTTTCTCCACTAAAAAAAAAAATCATTCTAGTTATGTTTATAAAATAAAAAGGACTTCAGTAAAGAATTGATTTTCGCCATAACCAAAAACAAATTCAAATGTACCCCTTTGAAAGACTTACAAAATATACTTACATAAATTCCTTACATATTGTTTTTTTTGTCATTGTGCGATGTAAGCCGTACACAGACCACTCAGACTTGCATTCAGTGTCTCAAGGTGGTATGTACTCTTTCAAATACCGTATCTCGTATAAAGTACGATATAAGAGGGAAAAACCCATCTACATTCTTTCGACTGGCGAGTTAGGTTAAAGTCATTGACGTAAAAGGGGGTGGGGCACGATAACGCCACCCCAAAGAAAAACATAATGATGAGCCTATAAACAATATTTGTTTTTTTTGGATAGTTAAGATATACTAAAATGGGCCGGTAGCGCACCCCCTTCACTTCCGCCAGTGTTTATTTTCATTTGTCGTTAAATTATTAATTAATTTATTCATTTATTTGTTTAATCTTAAGGAAATTGGATTCATGACTCCGTAACCCTTGATATATTTTGCCTAAGCAGACCATTTACCCCCACGTTACTACAAAACCTACTCGCTAACCGCTTTATCCATGGTACATTTTCTTTTATAGTACCCACAGGCTTAAACAAAGCATGAAACACCAGGTTCAATGACGAAAAGCTTACGGGTGATTCGCCAGTTTTATGTGCAGAAAAAGATCGAACCGTTCATTGAAAGATCACGAGTGTCCATGATAAAAGTTAAAAGTTATATTTTTTTTAATTTTCAAAAGCAAGTTTAATTATAAGGACGCCCCTGTTAGTTCTGTCCATTGTTCAGCCTTCAAAGTTGATCATATCATCCCTCCTATCCTCGCTCTTTTACTTCAGCCTTTACCGGTGATCTTGATTCATTTGGCAAACAATTCATCCCCTATTAAATCCACGACTGTGCTTATTAAGTTCAGGAAATTATATCACAGTATTTCTTTGGAGTGCTTAACGAGATGAAATTAGATCATAATCGATAAAATATTACAAAGCCTGCACAATGACCTCGATACAGGGATATTGCTGTTTGGCGAAGAAATGTCCAGCCTCACATAAAAGGCATATTAACACTGCCATAATACATTCAGTTTATTGTAAAGGATCGTTCAGATATGACTTGGCAGAACCAAAGCCGTTTTTTTTTAAATGAAGACGTAAAGTTCAAAACGCTTCAAATTTCTGTATCTTATAACACGGAGGGAGCTTTGTGAATTGAATATGTGTTAGTCCTTTGTTGCTGCGCGCAGGTGACATTAATTTTCCCGGAAAAAAAAGGGAAAAAAAGAAGGAAAATCTGAACGAGCCTTTGTTCTTCTTTCTCTGATCTAACACAAACTGTCAACTCGTTCATCGATTTACCTTGAGAGAAAACATTGTTTCTAAAAATACATACATTTCCATGTTACACAATTGCAAAGATTTCAAAAAGCATGGGCGATTATTCTTTGTATTCATTTTCTCCATTTGCATTCCTCGCTACCTGCAATGTTTCTTCTTGCCATGCAATACATAATACATTCAATGCCATAGGAATATAATGTGCATCAATGCTGATAGCTGAACTTCAAACGTCAAATAAATCGAATCTATAAAACCATCCTCTGCCCATGCAGGTAAAGTAAGAAGACACTCGGAAGGAACAAAATTATCGCTTGGGCGCCTTATTCAACCTTGATCATGTAAAACCGAGAGAAAAGGCTTTTCTTCTCCTCCTCCTCCTCCTCCTTCTTCTTCTTCTTCTTCTTCTTCTTCTTCTTCTTCTTCTTCTTCTTCTTCTTCTTCTTCTCTTCTTCTTCTTCTTCTTCTTCTTCTTCTTCTTCTTCTTCTTCTTCTTCTTCTTCTTCTTCTTCTTCGTCTTTTTCATCATCATCATCATCATCATCATCATTTTATCATTATTATACTCATTATTGTTATTATTGTCATTATAATTATCATAATTAATATTGCCATTATTATTATCATAATTAATATTGTCAGTATTTGTATCATTGTCATGTTTATTGTTAAAGTAATTATTCATTACTATAATCATTCCCATTGTTATTATCATGATTATTATCATTATTATCATATTTAATATAATTATTATTGTCAGTATTATTATCATCTTTATTATAATTATTATTATTATCATGTGAACATCGTGATCACAATATTGTTAGTGCTATTATTTTGAGAAATAAAGAGTATATAACCAGCTAGAATTAAAGCGAATTCAAATTCATTTTTCCGTAACCAAGCAGTGCGAACAGAAATCCGACCTATATCAATATTGGACGTCAGAAATTATCTCAATCCTTGACTGTACATTCCACCAAATTATTCGATGAGACGACTTTTTTAATTTCGACGTTTCATATGATAGTTTGTTAACGGACCCTTGATTGAGGAAATTGGATTCTAATTACAGAAGATGAAAGGCTGCAGTAAACATAAACATAGCTACACAACAACGAGTTCATAACCAGCAGATGTTTTGTTTCCATGGAAACAGACACAGGTTCACGTTTAGACATTGTTTTTTATTGCTTTATTCCGTAGAGGTGAAAAACCTTTGGGTTTTTAGTTTTTTAGATTTCAGGTTTTTGTTTAAAGAATATGTTAATATTCTGTGCTTGTTTTCATAGTTCAACATTCAAGCTTATATTTACGTCATTGCTACTTTTGTATGGACAGTGTTGCAATAAGCTATTTCTGAAAATTAAATTTTACATTTTTGGGGCTTTTACAGATATGCCTTCATGTCAAGTTCACCATTAGTAGACATACTGTAAAATCCTCTGACACACTATTTTTTTAAGCAGTGGCGTATCCAACCCTTGGCCTCAGGATGGGCAAAATATTTCAACTTACGGTAAATCTAATTCCAGCAAGGAAGCCACTTTATTTTAGGAGCCCTGGTTGCAAGAAGAGGATTTATTGCCCCAAAAGACAGCTTTGGGGAAGGAAAGAGGAAAGCTAGAATGGACATATTAAGAATTGTTGTTGTCTGTTATGTGCTTTCAAGAGCAACATTACTGTACTTAGAAATATGACAAATGGTTCTCTTACCTGAAGAATATGGTCGTTCTTTTTTAAATGTTGGTCAGAAATATGTCAGCCCCCTTTTATCCCACTTCTAGTAAGCTAGGGATTTGTTTCCATGGCAGTAATGAACACATAATCAGGCAGGCTGAGTAAGCACGTGCGTGTATAAAACGTGGCGAATAAGAACAACCGGTTCAGGGTTTGACAACTTATTTTACGCACATTTGTTTTCAATCTAAATATTCGTTACTAAGAATCAGGGGCGGTTTTAACCCCCCTTGGGCAGCCAACAGAGAAAAAAAGAAAATAAAACAATAAAACGGCGCGATTTTTGGAAAATCCTGGATCCGCGACTGGGTCAACCCCCCCCCCCCCCCCCTTTGGAAAAAAGCTAGATCCGCCCCTGAGAACAATTGTATTTTAGAAACTCTGATGTTGGAATACAGATGACGTAACTCATATCCTCACTCTCCAATACATCCACGATCCGATTTGTCTTTTTCATAACAAGACAAATGCCGAATTGTGTCTCGCCCACCTGAGGCCAAATAATAGAATATTCCCAAAAAGCATCCCTGACTCAAGTTATCTTTTACTGATAGTTGTGATTGAAAATAAGAGGTGTCGTGGTCGAGTCGATACGTCACCGGACTGTGGATCACAAGGACTACGGTTCGAGTAGCGGCACTAATGTCCTTTGGCAAGACATTAATCTACACTTTCCACATCGATGTTAATGGGTATCTAGCAGAAATTAATTCCTTGAAATGCTAGAGTGCTGTAATGGCTCACGCTTGAACTGATGTTTTTCTATCATGATATTTCTTACTGAGAGAGAGTGGGAGGGCGGTGTTATCTTTACTTAACAAATCATGCTCGTCTCAAAGCAAAGATTATATACTACCAAAGCCGATAAACTGCCAAAACATTACTCGTATTAGAGAGAATATAACCTTGACCAAGAGATATGATATCATTTTCACTTGTAGTAATTAAATCCACTGCGAAATTGCCACTTAGATAATTATATACGGTACAAGGTTATGAAATAATGAAAAACAGAATCAGAGTCAAGGATAAGGTAGAAGATTTTGGTAAGGTATAACAGCTTGATATTGAACTTGAGAACGATTTGATAACAGTACTGTTTGAATCTAATTTTATCAGCGGGGCTTGGTAGCGAATTATTTTTTCCCAAACAGGTTTGCCAATGCTAAAATATCCGGTCATCTGATTGGCTGATATGTTACGTCATTAGCAATGACGTAACCGTTAGGGTGAGTGATAGGGTTGTGGAAATCATGCAGAATCACTTTTTATCAACCCATCGTTGGCTCAATCGGTAAGGACAGCGTGTAACTAATAGCACTTTGAAGTTGACTTGAGGGTTCAAATCTCAGTTAATTCAGTTGTTTTGCCTTTATAAATAGTGAGGCAAAGCAATAAATAATCAAAGTCTAATTGTTTGTGACCACTTTCCAAGCTGCTAATGACGTAGAACATATCAGCCAATCAAAAAACGGAAATATAAGAAATTGCAAACCTGTTTGGGAATAAAGATTTCGCGGCCCGGTAGGCTCATAAAGAGATACAGAAAGATATTTCTGTCTCTTTCTCTTTAAATTCTGTCTCTCTCCTGCACCCAGCAATATGTGTATTTACCTTTCTCTTTACATTCACCCCCTTCGTATCTACATCTACCCGTTCATGGGATCAGGAATCGTTTTTAACATTTATCAGAAACCAAAGTTTTGCTAATTTTAAAACGATCGAAGCTCAACTGCCCTCAATGATTATATGCATGGTAAAGAGATGTTTCTTGCTATAAACTTGTTTGTTTTGTTTTGTTTTGCCTTGCTTAGTATAATGTAGTATAATTTAATATGGGCATAGCTAATTCTAATTTATGTACATTTTGCTTCATAGCCTCTGTTGAAAGTATTCCACACCTGTTTTGTGAATGCCATGTTAAGCATCAATTCATTCAAGACTTCCAAAGCTCTATTCTAAACAACGAAGTCCTTTGCAGAAAAAATGTCCTTTATGTTTGGTTTCCCAGATGGTACGCAATCTATCTTTAATTTTGTCATTTTATATGCAGAACACTTTATATTCTCTGCGAAATATAAAAGGGAACGGCTATCTTTGATTTTTTTTTAAAGAAGATGCGTAAACGTTTTTATGAAGTTGAGCGGGTTCTTTCTATCAAACGAAATAAATTTGTTGTATTACTAGATAAATGGAGAGATGTGCAACGGATGTAACAAAGTTTGTTTAACCGATTTGTCACAACATGTTCATCGTTTAAATATATTGTTTTGTTCTTGCTCAAGAATGATTGAATACATGTTTTCTTTAGAAGATTTTTTTGTTTAGTATTATAATAGTGTAATTTAGCTCTTACATTAGGCTTCAAAGAAAGAAAAGATGGTGGAAGTGCGTGACGGGTGCTTATTGAAAATGTTTCAAGGGCTATCGAAGGAGAGCAATAACTATTATGCAAAAACATATCTTCACAATTTTTAAAGACTATTCCTAAGAAATAAGTTCTAGGATCAAGGTCCAGATGCTATTAAGTGTTACGTAACCACGCCAGATGATGCTCAAGGCGCCAAGCAAAGTCCTCAATTGGTATTCACTAGCTTCTCGTAGAGACTAGCTTTTGTGTTCATTTGCCATGAAGTGTTTATACGGTCTATGGAATTGTTCTATCTATATATTCATCTAAGTATCTTCTCCTGGTTCGGAGGTTGATTGCAACATCTCTCCATTTCACTCCCTCTAGGTCTACTTCCTTCTACTCTTCCTTCCAATACATCCTTTAAGAGGCTTTGGTGCCTTTTAACATGACCAAAGTATTTGATTTTTCTCTCCTTAACTAATCCTAAGAGTATAATTTGTTTACGTCCTGCCATGTGCAATATCTCTTCCAATATGGAATTGTTCAGCTCTGCTTAAAAAAACATGCTCATCAATCCTCGCCGTCCCCACACTCTGTACTTTCGCCATCTTCCTTCTCCTACTCATCCTCTGTTCTTCTCTCCTTCACGGCGACTTTCAAGACTTTGGGACACTCTTCCCATCAGTGTCAAAGATGAGGCAGTGGTATCCTCTCTGTCTACTTTACTTCATGTCTCAAAAGCAGCAATATAGATAGTGCCTAGGTGTGGTACTCATCTGGTTAAATCTATATTACCTCACTCTATACTCTCTGACTAATTTCCGTTTATTTTTCTTTAATAGATATCATGCCATGATGCTGTATTATACAAAATATACATTATAACAATTATGCAAGTATCGAATTAGATTTGTGAATAAAATCTTAGTCGAGAGCGATGCATAAATATTATTGTATTTTATTATCCTTATCAAATTATGGTATAACGTCGCTATGCATTGTAATTACACGGGCTTCAGTTTCGGAGACCATAGTTAAGTATACTGGGCATTCGACGGAATAAACTTCTATGTTAGGTACGTATATTTCAAACCAGTCTACAGAGACTACACATGGGCAAAATATTATCGGGTGGGGATTCGAATCCATAAACTCTTGCTTAAAGGGATAGTTGAGTTCTGTTTTCAGACCGCAAATGCCTTCAAAGTGCAGGTTATTGCTCTTATTCTTATCTGTGACATTTCTAGTGCCCTTTTAGAACCTAAAATTGCTATGAAGGTAATTTTAGACCCCAAAATATGTGAAATTTAGCCAATACGATCATACCAATTCAGCTCCACTTAAAAAAAAACACGGTGACCGTTAATTAATCATTAAATTAAAAATAACAATACATGAGCCGGCTAATTGTGGGTAATATAAGCAACACGAAAATGCCAACAAAAAAGCCAACATCGGCATTGGCTAAAATACGACGTAAAAGGCGTTATTTCGTTTTTTTTTCAACGGTTTTTTCAAATTTTTCTAAATATCTAATATTTGTGGTGGTACACAAGTATTAGAAATCGTTTTATTTCAGCCGTCTCTGAACGGATTTTGATCAAACAAAGATGATTTTGTCATTTAAATATTATGTTCTTTCAAATTTGACGCTCAGTTTTTCATGATCTCACAATTTTTTTTTTGTTGTGTAGCGCCCTCTGCAACAGAACTCAACTATCCCTTTAAGAGTCCAGTGAATGAACCACTGTAATATTTTTTCTTTATTTGCGTTATGGCGTTTGGGTAATAGTGAGAACTGGATTTCGGTGCCTCCCATCATGCGCCTGTGTAGGTTATATAATTATCCACAAGCCTTGCACTATTCTTGGTTGTTTGTTTGTTTGTTTACTTGGTTAAACCTTATTCATTTCTTATTCAATCACGTTGCCGGAGAATCAAAAATGAAAATGGAACGACTCCAAAGCCATTTCTTCTTGGCCAAAATGTTGATCCCGTTGTAAGAATATCGGGGCTATGGTAAAACGAACATAATAATTGATCACTTTCGACATTTTAACCTCCATTAAAATGTTCCCACGGCGATAACACCTACCCTTACTTCTCAGAAACGATTTATTTTCAGGACGCAAATCTCTTTTTCTTGTACTGTAAAAAGACAATTTCCGCCAATCGGCGATACATACCAGCTGCCAGACTAACGAATTGTGTCCGCTCAGCGTGTGAACTGATGACGTCGTGACAGAACCTGCGCCTGCGCACCAGTAGTATTGGAAAAGCCACGCCTCATTCACTGTCCATACGTTTGTTGTTACGTTGTTCTCAAGGGCAGTTCTGAAAGGTAGTAATGGGATTAATTCGATTGATTAATTGAATTCAATTGAATCAATTTATTCAATAGAACATGCAATCAAAACGTTGGTATTGATATTGACGTTTGTTATCTCTGCGTTATTGAACGGTTATTAATGTGATTAAAACTAATGTGTTTGATTCAAAACTAAATGTGGTTCATGGGTATGATGAAGCACGATGTTGAAGAGATATTTTCGTAAATTGAATTAAAAGAACGATTGACGTTGTCTATAGCCTCTTGATAAATGATGAAATTATACATAGCTCCCCCCCAAAAAAAATGCATGGCGTAATGAAACCTGTGGCCAATAGTAATTAAGTATTTCTCAAAGGCAGGGTGGCAAAGACTTTCGAAAATCAAGACAATCTAGGCAATTATAATATTCTTGTCTTTCACTTAATGAAATGGGCGAATATTAAAATGACGTATTACGTAATCTGAAGAGGAATTCTATGAAATTTACGATAGACTATTAAAATTGCTTTCGAGTTTTTGCGATTGTGATTGAATGCGACTGATTGCTTTTTAATCACAATTGCCTAAGATCGATGAAAGGCACAAAGTAGATATTTACAAAAAAAAGAAAAAAAAAAACCCTTTGTGAACATTTAATAGTAAAGGGGTAATCCACACTTATATTAAATTGGTTTTAATAAAAGCAGAACAATTCGAGAAAATCACTGTTGAAAGTTTGAGCAAAATCTCATTAAAAATAGGAAAGATTAATTATTAAAGTTGTCTTGAGAATTTCATAAACTATCATTTTCTTAGTTATTGATGACGGAATAGATTTGTTTCATACAAGGATTGTTTAGAAACATATTTGCAATAATCTTATTTAGGTTGCATGTATGATTGACAATTTTTCTTGAGGGAAAATATAATGTTGTTCTTATTTCTTCTTTTTTTGTACAGGGAAAATGGGAAGGAAACTCGCAATATTGGTCAGAGTTGTCAATACGTATTTGATCGATTACACCTTCAAATATTCATAACTTTCTTATTTTTCCAATCCAATCCAATCCAATCCAAAAGATATTTGATATAGCGCCTTTTCCTTGCAGTTACAAAGCGCTGCACACACGCTCCACAATGTTTGGGCCACTTAAAAACAAAAGTTAGACACTTCTCAGAGATCAGTAAAGTATATTGTAGGCTGATAATAAGTAATTTCTAGCAGAATAGATGTGACTTGAGTAGTTTCTTGAACTGGTCAACAGATGAGGCCGTCTGCACAGCAGTAGGTAGTTGCTTCCACAGGTTTGCTCAAACTTTCACTGACCTGGTTCTATAATTGTTTCTGGTTATATTAAAACCAACTTAATATCGAGGTGACTTCCCCTTTATTGACGGAGCAACCCGTATGTAACAACGGTGACATATAAGCCATTGGAGAGGCCGTTTCTAAAAGCGTCGCGTTTTGTGGCAGTTTGTACATAGAAGCAAAGAGTTCGAAACGATACAAAAATGGTACCTCTTTGAGTAACATCCTTCTTGTTGCCGTTGGGGGTAATCTGGTCTGCAGAGGTAGTATGACAATTTTAAAGGAAAATGCCGCTGCTTTCAATTTCTTACCTGACGGATTGAAAGGCGATATCATTGTAGACATTCTGAATGGTTCGGTTATCATAGAGTTGAATAAAGAAGACGTAGTGAGGACCGTTAGGCGCTGGCCAGTAGGTCTGTAGCGGGAGAAAATAATCAAACAATAATTAGAAGAGATTAATATAAAAGGCTGATGTAGGTAAAGAAAATGAGTTGAACTGATTAAGAATCGAACTGACGTATACATATCTTTAAAAATTGATATTAATTTTACATTAATCATTTCTAATTGACTTTCGCGTTCTGAAATTATTTTATCAGGAACGGAAGCAGTGTCCCCCATACATTTTGTTCTTATCTCTTCGTTACTGTTTATCATCATTACATAATTATACCCTTTGTCATTGTAAAATGAATGTCTTCTCAATAAAGTCATTGGGACATTCATTACATAAATGTCGTCCTATTGTTACGTCATGTCCTCATTTCCGTATCAAATTGTGAACAATGAACACTACATAGACGTCTCTAAGAGAATCTAAATCTAATTGACCCAGTTAATAAAGACATTATTCGATTCCGTCATAAATAATTTCCATTATTGCTTTCGGTATTTTATCCTCATTCATGAATTGCAATTGACAAGTCCATGAGTCCCCCAGATAATCAACACTGAACCTTGACAATCTTCAGTTTTACTTTCATCACATTAAATGTTTCCCTTCTGTTCGTTTTGTCTTTCATCACTATTCTTTCTTCTCTCTTTCTTTCTTCCCTTTTCTTCCTTTCTTTCATTCTTTCCTTGTTTTTCTTCACTCTTTTCACTACCTACTTCCTTGCTCTCATTCTCTCTTCTTTCTTTCCTCTAGTTCTCATTACACAGTTTTGTTGTTAGATTATATTTTAAGGCAATTCAGTAAAAACTCCCCCCCCCCTCTATATCTCCCGCCACTCCCCTCCCACTCTCTCCCTCTCTCTATCTCTCGCCCCCTCTCACTCTCTCTCTTTCCGGTATGTTTGTCAACTGTTCGTTATCATAGCACAATTACCGAATTCATTTCACTGCCCCTTTTTCATCATGTTTTGGCATTTGAATTCACAAAACTGTTAATATGCAAGTTAGCTAGAGAGAGGTCACTTGAATATAAACAGAGTTGCAATTAAATGTAAATTTACGTAGTAAACGAATTTACTTTTTTTCTGTGACAACAAATGCGCTCGATGCTTTGATTTGCATTTAATGTAATCACTATTTGAAAGAAGCTACAGAGATTACTTTTGGATGAAATGAATAAATTGAAGTGTAAACTCCTCGATCTATAGCAAACGAGATCATGCTCTCTAAATCTAAATACTTCACAACTTAAAAGATTTAGAACCAAATTTCTTACGAATTCACTGGGATCGAGCCCGATCTCCTTGGTGATGACATCAATAGTGGTATTGAGCCATGAGGTTGCATACGGATGCTCGCTAGGGGGCGGTCTAACGTCAAAGAGGAGAGATTTCTTGCGAGCAAGCACAATGTTAAACATCTCAACCATGGACAAAATCCCCTGTTGACTAAACTCTTCTTTCTCCTCGTCAGACACAAACCATGCCGTCAGGAAGGGCTTTTTCTATAAGAGACAGGATAAAGATACATTTATGTTGTGATATTCATTCAGTCTTTCCAAAGCAAAATCCAAACTCTATATATTGTAAAGCCATATCTGAAAACGAAAACCATTGATGTTGTAAAAAAAAAAACTGAAATTCACTACAGCTGTTGTATTGATGAGTTAATAATCAGCAGGTCATAAGGAATGTAATACATCACATTGTTTCACCATGATTCTATTTAATTTATCGATTTCAACCGGAGTTGTTCCATTTAAATATAAAATTGGTAAAGCAGTACCTGTCCATAAAAAAGAATGACATTCAAAATGAAAATGATTATAGGCCAATATCTATACTTCCATATTTTTCAGAAATCACAGAAAGACTCATCTATATTAACCGTATGTATTGTTATTCATGCAAGATCTCTCTCATCAATAATCATTGATCTTAATGATTACCTAATTATGTCTTTCACAAAAAAGGGTGAGTGCAATTGGTATTTTTTTTATAGACGGGCAAAGCGTTTTTTTTAAAAAATAAAATCGGCTTTTCCATAGTATTGGCTACTCTGTACTCTTATGAGATTAGAGGCTTACCACTTCTTTGGTTTAAGAATTATTAATATGATAGAATCAAGTTTTTGACATTCAATGGTGTTTTATCCTATCCTTTAAACATATTATGTGAGGTACCCCAGGGTTCGATCTTTGGACCACTTCTATATAAATGACCACCCATACTCTTCTGATATATTGAAATTCATACTCTTTGCTGATTACACCAATATTCTAATAAAATTACATGACTTCTGGATGTAACATCTTGAATGTTAAGTTACAAAAGTTTCACTTTGGTTTAAATGTAACAGACTGATTATGAAAGCTGTACAGTTTTACTTTTTAGATCTATATCTGATCTAAGGGGAAGTTTTACAGTTAAAACAAAAACCTAGCGCACCGGGCGGTCCGAACTTTTAAAAGCCCTGAATTAGGAAATTCGACCATGCATGTGTATTATGTGTTCTACAGCCTAGGATGTAGTGTTGCAAAATAATAGTATTTGGAAATACCTTCTTTTTTCCAACATCAGTTCTACTTTAATTTAAACATAATGCTTACCCTAGCAAACCATGACCCCGCATCGAGCTCTCTTAACTCATCCATCGTGAACATATCTGCTGGCTGGCGGTAATTCTCAGGAAAAACATCTATGGCATTGGTGGTACGAGTAAGAATCTCATCATGGAAGACGTATGGTATGCCATCGAAGCTGATAAGTAAACAAATAAACAGCAAAGTAAACAAACATGTAAACAGATTGACGATTCAACAAAGAGCCAGTGAGGAAAACATTTTATGGTTGATTTCAAATGATGTTTGCTGTGTTATACGTAAGGATTTCAAGACTAATAATAAACAAATAAAAAAAAAGTTGACAAAAACAGGTAAACACACATAAAAATAGTTACATTGGTGACTCGGGTTAGAATCTCATCATGGAATACATACGGTACACCATCAAAGCTAAAGGTAAACGAATATTGGGTGAGCAAACAAAAAAACATATAAACAAATTTACAAATACACGGTAAATATTTCGGAAAGACATCCACTACATCGGTAGTTCAGGTAAGATTAGAACCCATTAAGAAACACAAAGTCTCCGGCGACCCAGCCCCCCCCCCCCCCACAATAAAAAAGTATTTCACATTATTCAGATGTATATTTGATCAGAAATTCGAAAAGGGGGTGCATGTTTTTTTTTTTTTTTTTTTTTTTGGGGGGGGGGGGGGGGGAGGGGTGTACAATTTTACTAGAACAGCTGAAGACAGCAATTTATGGACAACCTATTGTCTCAAGGTCTAGTTTATTGTCGCCTACAACGCCCTCCAAGCTATAGGATATTTAGTGCATAGTGAATTTAAAGTATGCCAGTTGGGCAGTGTGTCAAGGATTCACGTTTTCACTACATGTTGCATGTTATGCAAGTGATGGCTCTCATCTTCCTGTCAGAGAAGCAAAATTGCCATCTCCATACAATAAAAAATAATCACTAATTGGGACACTTCGAGGAAATCTGCTGATAATATTAGTTGAAATTTAAAAAAAAATGTTTTCCACATGATAAAATGTGCTTTATGATGTCATGGAAGTGTCAGTGTTCAATTTAGAATTGAATTATAGACACGTTAGCAAGCAGTGACAATGGTTAGGTCCGCACGACAGTCGGTAGACTTAAAGGCCGTGTAGCTTGGTATGATACTGGTTAACGCCATCTACGTCTCCTTTTGGACAACTGCACGTAAACGAATGGACTTGATTTAAACGGTAGTCAGCGATTTAATCTCGACATGGTCAGCGTTCGCGAAACAGACCGAAGTACGACACGCACGTGATTGCTGCGGTCACGTCGTACACCCGATTCGCCCCGAGTCAGGCCACGGGAAAGACACATAGTCCCGTCAGTTTACACCCCCTTTAAGTTTAGGTCGCGGTTTTAAACTTCGAGGATTCATTTTGGTTACAGATCGTGTGGTCGCACTCGTGGTTATGGAAATAAAAGTTTACTCTTATTTATAAACCACAAGCAAAATTTATTTATGAATAATGATGACGATAGTGTCTGAAATCCGAAGGCATAACAAACAAACATCATAGCGCTCACAAAGTCAAATATCTAAAGAAAAACAACAAAAACTAAAAACTAAATGTAGATCATATTATTACTAGGGGAAAAAAAGATTCAAGGGGATCTCCTCTAGGAATAAGGCCAAACAAGTGATTTCTCTGATACAATTCCTGAGTGAAAGGCGATCAACTCATCATAAGATTCTTCGTGCCGTAGTCGAGTGGTTTGAATACCTCGATGGAGATGTGTAGGTTGTGGGTTCGTCGGTGTCCTGGCATTGCACGTGGCATGTTTAATGCAGATTTTATTAACCAGTTATTCGATGTTTGATGGTTATTTTAGCTGACTACTAACAAAGCATGCCTATGCTTGCAAGAAAGCGACCGGGGTACCGACGGCTTTAAGTCCTCTCCGAGGGACTTGGTAATGAGGATAAGTGCCATACCAAAGGCCACAAGCACATTGATTTGGCTTTGAACCCAGGACCTCCCGGTTACGAGACAACTGCTCTACTACTGAGCCATCGCGCCTCCTTATGTATACATGACGTCTCTTAATTCACCTAGGTGTACACGAATGTGTACACCGGTAAAGTGCAAACATCATTTTTTGAACGCGTAATCTGTGTGTGCCTCAGTGTAAAAGGGTAACGGGCTGAAATGCTCCACACGGAGTTAAGAATGTGCAAATATAATGTGAATTTTATATAAACTTAACGATGATAAAGGTGCATATGACATCCGAAACAAACAAAAAAAATGAATAAAGCAGACAAACAAAATCACGAAAAACCCGATTGAATAACAAACAAGGAAATACAATTTGAAACATGAAGCTGTCTAAATATACAGTTCTTGATTAAAGATTAAATTGGTAAATTTTGAAGGAACAAAATGTATGGAGATTTTAAGTGCCTCGTCGTAATGTTTTTTGATTAAAGGTAAAGACCAGTATTGGAAACGCCCCAATTTCAAAAAATGAAATGGAAGCTCTCATTACCAATCATGTGAAAGAATATGTTTTGACTAATACATGATGATAAAAAATTTGCCGGGAAACCGCCTACTAATTCATATATTTGGTAAATTTGTTTCTATGATGGTCTGTGAGAGATATAGGATAGTCCCATATACATCTTTCTGTGTATAGTGCTTGTAACTTTACGAAGAATGGGCCAAATTTCTTATCATTTTGATGATTCCAGAACCTTGCAGATGCTAGATGATCAACCTTTTCTGATCGATTCCACAACGTTTCTTTCACAATGCAATCGCATGACCATAACTGGTCTTTACCTTTAACGAAAAATTGGGGTTATTACCTAATTCTAACATCTGACTCTATTCCATGGGCTTCGTAGTCATCTAGAGCGATCATGAAGGAGATATTGGTGTTTTCAGGAGCAATCTACAAAGAACAGAAGAAAAATTGATAATTCATGAATTGACTTATTCACTACCCATCCATGTTGCTGAATACGTAATGTAGAGTTGTTCAGTTTAGACATACAACTCTTTTATTATTTTGCATGAATCTGATAATTTCGAAGCTTATAAAAATTGATTTTCTATGCATGCACTAGTTTTTTTCTTTAGATTTTACTTCCAGCAAAGATTTCGAAAGATGCTAAACTTTTTTGTTTTACTTGTCTTTTTCAAATCAGGCCGTAACTGTTTACAGTTTCCCTTTTTTAACAGATCAAGCATAGCAATGAGTACCAAAAAAAAAAAATGGCACTAGATATACTTCATCCTGCCGAAGGGACAACATACTAATACTTCTTCAGTGCCTTTGTAAACAAAGAGGAGTAGTTTAGCTGGGAATATCCTTTTGATGCTGGATCATGATGCAAGGTGATTGGTTGAAAGTTGATGTGACGTAAATAGCGATACAGACCAATAAGAAAGGTCCGTCTCAAACTTTAATATGATAACACAGATAGAAACATGCCTCTTCCGCACCTTTGTGAACAAGGAGGTGGGGCTTAGCGGATTATCCCAGTGATGCAGTGTAATAATGTAAGGTGATTGGATGGAAATGAATTCGACATCATTGCCGCAATGGCGAATTAGAAACACCCACCTCAAACTTAAATACAATATCATAGATTCAGTGATAAGAAACATACCTCTTCCGCCCCTTTGTGAGCAAAGAGGAGGGGCTTATGAGGGTTATCCTCATGATGTTGTGTCATAATGCAAGGTGATTTGATGAAAATCGGCGTGATGTAAAGAACGATTAGGACCAAGAAATACCAGAAAGATGCATCGCGAATCGGGATACCTAAAAAAAGAAAGGTAGAAGGTCAAAGAACTTTGGATAAATACTTATCGATAAAACGTTTACAAATTGCGTGTCTCTTTGTTTATGAATTCAACAAAATCTTAAAGTAGCCACACGAAGAAATCAAAAGTGTTTTGAATTGATGCAAAACTCATATCATTGCGAAGGGGAAGCCTTGCCGATCAAATACAACAACTCTTCTCTTAAAAATATGTTTGGGGCCCGCAGTAATCAACTCTCAAAAATGTTAGTTTTGAGATCCAGATTTTCTGCCTTCAGCGGTTCTTTGTAGAACGTCAATATTTGTGACGTCACATACGGGACATGGCTGACTAGCTGCATACTGCTACACGGCACTAAGCTGTTCGTCCAGTGTGTGACGTCACAATTCAGAGCTCGCTACGCGTGTGTGTTTGACTTACGTTCAGGGGCGTTCGGGGGTCTAAGGAGGGTCTTGAAAATTCCTTTTTACGCCTTTCCATGATATCTATATGATTTTTCAGCAAATTGTTCGTGTTTTTCAAGAGAAAATCTTTCCATCCACATGTAATTTGTTCTAATTATGAGTTGTTAGTGAATTTTCTTTGTGTAGCTCCTTTAAGATTATCCAATCTTCCATTTTTTATAATGGCTTGATTTTCTGGAATAACATACTAAAAATGAAATAGTGAGACATTGAACCGATTGCATAAACAGTATCTTGAATCAATCATGTAGAATTAATTTGATATTGAATAATTTGTCTTAATTATGTTTGCATGCATCTCAACGGGCATTTGCGTTTAAATCACCTGCCACTACAATATACTATAATGAATTGTCAAAACAAATTATAAAGCTTTTTTTAGTGGAACATAAGTGATTTTTTTTTTTTTTCAGTCGATTATAAAAGGATTTAAACCAATCCCGTATATATTTCCCAGGGCCCTGCATGTTCATAAAACTTGTTATCAATCACAAGTGCTAAATTTCTATGACAAATTTGCTCTCAGCCAATCAAATGCCACGATTTCAGTAGCTTCTAAAAGTTAATGTAACTTGTTATCGATAACAAGGTTAATGAAACAATGACGGCCGCCAACAGATGGCCACAGATGGCCGATTTAATAGATACGCACCTCTCCTCTGCAGTGTACCCAGACCTCCGGCAACGAACCAACTAAGCAACGTCATGACTGTCACGGCTACCAGCTGCAGAAATGGCCCGATGTACTGGATATTTTAATTAAAAGGACACAAAAACAGTTATGAGGATAACAACTGCAATACCCGCATAGGCATATGAAATATTTGGTTACATGTCGTTTTTCCGTAGCTTTGATATTTAAAAAAGGTGTTTACCGTAAGTTTCTTTTGTATGTAATTCTAAACATTTGTAAGTCCGGATATTAGTTACTACGTAATTCCAAAAATATAATAGGGTTTGTAATTCCTAATACATAATTCGGGATGATCATTATTCAGAAACGAAAAAGAACCCTATTTTATCATTTTCGAAATATTAGGTACCTTAGGAAAGAAGAACGAGTACCCCGAAGATTCAACTACTTCACTTCAAGGTACTATGTCCCATTTGCAGGCCCAAAAATGAAAAAGTTAAATTCCAACTGCATTTGAAAGATAATACTAACTTAGAACTTCCCTAAAAAAGGTAGGGCTTGAAAATGTCTTCAAGTGGGAAAATAACGACTATTAGTTGTCAAATTGACTTTAGGGCTATAGAGCCCAAAAGTAATAGTCTTGATTTTCAGACAATTGTACCGAATGGTCATACGTTTTATACTGCGCAAAGATTCAATGGGTGGTATTCTCATAAGTTAAGCCGGGACTAAGTCCAGACTAAACAAGAATTTTAGTTCACACTTTTATGGAATGCTAGGTTTCATCTTCCTCCTTCAATATTCATGACAAAGATAATCTACCAAAGACTTTTTGGAAATTCAGTTCATACTCATATAATCTTTTTCTTCCCATTTCATTGCAAAATTAATTTTTGGAGACTTTTCATTGAAGGATTAAAATAATCTGTAAAGGATAAATGAGTTGACAACAGGCACTCCATAAAAGCGTGGACTAACTTAGTGCGCGCTAACTTAGTACGCGCTACCAGAATACCACCCAATCAGTTTAATCTTGGCCATCACAAGAAGTGGGTTATTGATGTAGACAAATGCTCATGTACCCTTTACAACTCTTTTCATGTATGTTATTACCAAAGAAGAAAAAAAGTCAGTCAGTCACTCAATAGTGTCTGACAGTGAAGTCTAGCAAGTAAACGGGTTTCCTTGCATAATTTGAATATGAGGACACTGCTAACGTTTAAATTTCAGAGATAGGACATACATGACATATTCATAATTCCTGCAAAGTTCTACAGCATTTGAGGTTAGCTGCAAAAGGGACATAGTACCTTTAACCCAGCTACTTATAAATCACACTGCGTGAATTCTCTTTATAGATATGATTTTTCGACCACATATGTTTCTTTTAAGAGCTACGCAAGGACATCATTAAAAGGCACTTATCTAAAAATTGCACTTAGACTTTTCGTTATGTTTGCAGTCGTTTTCTTTAAATTTAAGGACGTTCCGCAGTACGTGTGCACCTTAGCTGCGCAGGGCTAGCTGATCATGTCTTTACTATGCGCAATACCAGGAACTCCAACCATTGTGAATGGTAAATTCATAACCAGCTGGTCCAGAGTGCGCAACAACATTACTGCGGAACGGCAATAAATTGGAAGAAAATGACTGCAAAGTTGACGAAAATTCTAAGTGCAATAAATCGGTATTGCACTCTCTTTGTAGATAATTATCTCTTAATGCTGTGTTCGAGTAGCTCTTAAAAACACATTTGATTAAAAGACACTATCTATTAGGTAAACTAACGCAGTAACGGTTTTCAACATTATTTTTAAGATGGCTACTTGAGATACAAATCTCAAGGAAGTGCATTCTAAATTTAAGATAGCATCAAAATCATGTTGTACATCTAAAAAGCATTCATATTATTCATCAAAATGGCTACAATAATCAAGATGTGACCCTTATCTACTTTTGGATATTAAAAAAATACAAATATTAACAAAACAAATTGTTGTTAATCTAAATTGAAATTCACTGTGTAGTTTAAAAAGAAGAAGTTTATAACAAGCGCAGAAGAACACAATTTAAATTACATCATAATCAAGGACAAAAATCATATTGCAACTCTCACCGGATGAATATTCCACTCTAAAAGAACAACACATTTCCAGCAGCTTTAAAATGTGAATAATTTTCTATTTATTGACTGAAATTTGAAGAAAAAATTAAGAAAATCTTTCACGCGATTACCTGTGAAAAGAGTTGTGGAAAAGGTATTCTAAATAGTTTGATTCTGAATTTATTTATCCTGAAGTTGATATGAAATTGCTGCTTTGATAATTTTCCGTATACGAAAGACAAAAAATAATTATGTGAAAGCTCACAAAATTATCTTTTCCTTTACAAGATCACTACTTTCTTCTTCTCTTTCTTTTCATAGAGGTGTTGTGGTCTAGTGGATAAGTCACCCGACAGCATAACAAAAGGTACGGGGTTCAAATCGTAGCCCCGCACTAGCGTTCTTTTGGAAAGACGATAATCTGCATTTGCCACTCTCCACCTCCGAACGTTTAATTTAGTTTGTTCAGCATTGTGAGCGTCTATAAAATGGCGCCTGGCTGGAATGCTCCCCAGGAGTGGAGAATTCGCATTCGATCGAATGTATTAGGCGCTATATAAAAGCGAAATATTATTATTATTATTATGATAGATTATGGGCTTTCTTTGTACCTGTAGAAGTTCGGGCACAAAATGCCAGAGATGACGTAATCTGATGCTAACGAAGACGATGAGGGTGATCGTCATCACAAGCGACATCACTACACCGATCTGTGGTCGTAGGAAAACAAAGAAATAAAATATGATTTGACGCGGAATTAAGCCATTGACTACGGGTAGAGAATGGTTCCGATTTACGCCTGTGAAATTGTATTCCGACATACTTCAATTCAGTTTAAAAGATGAAATTTCTATGTGTATAGAGGTAAATATTTTTTTATATTTATGACTACGCATGAAGACAGCTAAATTTTGTAATTAAAGGAAACGAAATAAGCCATAACCAAACGAAAATCCAATTTATGTATCTTTACTATTTTTTCATCACCAAAATAAATCCATATTTCGTATCCTATTCTGTTCTTAGTAAACCATGCCTGAGCCTTTATTTTACATATAAGCTAAACAAATATCATGTTGAAAGTACATTGGACTAATAAATACATTGAATTATTTGAATTGAAAAGTCAGTTGTCAACGGGATAACAGCTCCGTCACAGGGTCGAAACAAAAGATTAAAACTGTCATGATTACAAAGTCATTATATTAACGAGTATCGACGGACTAACAATGAAGTATTATCGTAATCTGATAAACCTATTAAATAAAAGGAACTCGGAACTCTGTTTATAGGTGGATACGGACAAACAAGTTACCTCTAAATATAAAAAAGGCAAATTATATGTTTTTAACTAATTCAATACAAACACTCCCTGGTGACATAAACATGAATTAGGTAAATATTAAACGTGTTCAATCTACCAAATTCCTAGGAATATACATATCTTGGAAGATGATGATGATGATGATGATGATGATGATGATGGTGATGGTAATGATAATGATGGTGATGATGAGGATGAGGATGATGATGATGAAGGTGACAATAATAGTGGTGGTGATGATGATGGTGATAATGATGATGGTGATGATGATAATAATGATGATAATGAGGATAAATTTAATGATCACGATGATTATACAAATCATATTAAAACGTACCTTGTGTAACATGTGTAATTGAAGTCTTTCGCTTAGAATCATGTGTAGAAATCCAAAAATCTGGGATATGGAAAAGAAAAAGCAAATCAACATTAAAAATCAAGAAGTAAAGGGACACATTATGCTTATCTAGGAATGGTTACATTTACAATCCGAAGTTTAATCGATCTTATAATTTCTTTATCTTGTGTGTAAAGGGTAAATCGAAATAGAAGTAAAAAAAAAAAAAAAAAAATGCATTCAAATAACAATTTAACAATAGAATACCGCATATTATTTTAGAATCAAGTTCAAGTTCATTTTATTCAAAACCACACAAGACATGATATAACCTTTTACATAAAAGGGAGACTGGTAACAAAGACTAACTCCACTAAAATAACCTCGAGGGTACGCAAATCTTAAGTTGCATACTTTTTCACTTTTGCAAATTCGGTTTATTTTTTTTAATGAAGAGGAACTCTCCAATCAATATTGCGAATGATGAAGCCTACATGTATGAGGGCGGAATTAGATACTGAAGTGACAGCATTCATCCCAGTAGTGGTCAACAGAGGGCGATCTTTCACAATTGTGAAGCTCTACCATTAATCAACTTCATCATTAATCACCCTTTGTATCCAAAAATGAATAGACAGGGAGCTACCAATTTGTATGTGGGATGTATCTGGTCAGCCCTGTGTGCCGTAGACAAAATTTTATGTAAGGTTGTTAATATTGATAAAATAATGAATGCAAATTGGATTCCAATTCCATGGAAAGGGAACATCCAATAAAAATTAAAAATCTCTATCGCATAGTGTCAGAAGGAGTAAAGAGAATGATATGGTTATAATAATCACTTTTGTTTTTAAAGGCATACGTACCATGAGAAGCATGATGTAACCAAATGTTACGTAAGAGATGATCTGAAATGTGAAATAGAACGGGAACCATACTCCTGTTGACTTCCAGAAACCCCTAAAATGAAATTAATAAAAAGAAAAGTAACATTCAAATATTTTGATTTTGATTTGATTTGATTTTCTTTTGCATTCATATAAGTACACAGCTTTCCAATAACAATAGTAATATAGAATACTATAAGCATTTTTTTCTGACAGTGAATCATAAATAAGCAAATATATATAACAGTTGTTTTTTTCAAAAACGAAATGATAAATTTCACTAAGTCATAAATACCGAATTGCGTCAAACATTATACAATTATTTGTGGAAGACGGACTGTCATTGTCAGCAGATTGCTTGAAAATATGACAGCCCCAGACTAAAATCATGAAATAGATTAACACATTTATTAAGCAGAATGGATAAGTAATTGAAAATACAAATTACAGGATAACACACAGACTTAATTCCTTTAAAGATTTTGTATAGATAATGAGCAGAGAACGATATTGAGTTAGACAAGAAACTATGAATGGCCAAAGAAGTCATGAAGTGGTATATAGTAGACGTAAAAAAAAGCTATTTAGATGCCTTCAAAAACACACACACAAAATGGGGATATTCATCGCGTTCATTGAAATTCATTGCACAGTCCCACACTATCACATTTCTGTCATTACCTTGGCCTATAGCCCTATTACATCATGCGCAAATTGACGTCATCTACCTGCTCCAATTTCTATCTTTTAAGTCCGTTTTTGATTAAATGGACATCCGTCAAATAAACTCATTTCCTAAGAACAGACCGAAATGTTCGGTCTGATGGTAACTTTAACTTTCTCAAAACGTAAAATATGCCCTTTGCCAACAAATCCTATTTTCATTGGGTTTGTATGAAGGGACTCAGGAAGGACAAAGACTTTGCTCTATTTGGTGCATTGGACATCATCATGAAGTATAGCATCATTAATTTTGCCGAATGTTTTTTTAAGAGAAGATCATTAGCTCTTAGTATATTAAGCCGATTTATAGAGATAGTGGTTACAGACGCTAAAAGAAGAAACAAGTATCTTTTTAAAAAAATACATGTATATCCTTTTTAATAGCACTGAAACAGCTTCTATTCATTAATGAAAGATTAACCTCCCCCAAAAATGACAAAAACAGGGTGACAAAAAAAAAGGCAAAAATACGGAGATCTTAGAACGTAATGAGCTGGTCACCTCTGAATACCGCCCTCAATGAATTAAGGTTTTCAACAAACGTGCGATGATGTGCAGAATTCAAATTCTGAATTCGTTATTGATGCGATTAATCCATTAACTTACACATTTGAATATCATTCCAAAACGTCCATTTCTATTTTGTTTGGATGGTTTGGATGATTTCACTGATTGTATTGGATCGGAAAGGTTGTAGAGATAACCAGCCAGCCTTAGGCTGTTCATACAGTCAAGATCCAACATTTATCTCAATACCCTTTTTCCTCAAATAGATTTGAATACTTAAAAGCAACAAAATTTGATTTAGGTACGTGAGGCATTTCATTGAGTATAATAACAGGGGAAGTCCACTCTGATAATAAGTTGGTTTTAAAAGAATTATTTTCCCTCAAGCAAATTTTCTATCCATACATGCACCTAAATAAAACTATCGTAAGCATGTTTCTATACAACCTCTCTATGGAAAAGAAATCTATTCCGTCATCAATAACGAAGAAAAAAAAAGTTTATGAAATTTCATGTACACAGCAAATTGGAGAGGAGCTCACAGGATACGTCACAGTGTTGCCAATAATTATGTGTTTGATTGATCGCAACTTCAACAATCCATAATTTTCTTATTATTAATCGGAATTTGCTCAAACTTTCACCGACCTGTTCCTCTCATATTTTTCTTCTATTAAAACCAACTTAATATCAGGGTGGACTTCCCCTTTGACGATTGTACTTACGCGTTCACACTGTCAGCATCATTATCTGAAGAAACCCATAGGAACATATCGAAGAGAGTTGCGAGGAATGTGAACGCCATCACACAAAACCATACGCGCTCAGCCTGCATGGCAAACAGAAAGGGATTCAAGTTTAATTTTATTTCATTACAATAAAAGCATTATTTTAGACGTACACATCAGATATACAGCACATAGGCAAATTATTATATATACATTACATACATACATTATATATACATATATACATTAAGGGTACCACAAAAGAAGGCGGTCTCGTCAAAATAGTCCCCTGGTGAACAAAAGTGAAGTGCTCGAAAGCAAGAGGAGAGTATATTTAAACATTTTATTACATGAATATGGGAAACAAACAATAACAACAACAAATACAATTACATTGAAAGATTGAAATATATAACAACACATAGAACGATATATAACAATTACAAAGAGAAAAAGAAAGACCAGACAGCCCTAAACAAAGTTTAGAAACAAGCATATTAAAAGCTTTAGACTACAATTTCAGAAAATAATGGGAATTTCATTAATTTTCTCTCATATGGAGTGATATTTAATCGATTTGGTCTCATTATCACCTGGACCTTTCGTATGAGAGTCATGGGCCTGTACTAATAATATACCTCGGTGCTCTCATATTACTATACCACGCTTGATATGGTCTGAACAACTTATTTAGGTATATATTAGGATGCAAATTTATCCGAAATACAAATACATGTATAGTGTTTACAAAAAGAGTTACGAACCCCATAGCAACCATAATTACAAGCCAAAGGCCAAATTTATTGAACGTATTGTACGAATCGTTTGAGGAGTATCTCTAAAGAAACTCTCATGGTAGAAAAAAACTTGAACATGATCTAGGTTTCATGAAGCTATCAAATTATCTAAATTATGTGTATAAATGATCAGGATCCGTCTTAAAATCATGATGGATTCGTATTAATTGCAACTGAGCTTGAGTTTGATATAAATCGCATTTATACGAGAGAATGCTATGCGATGATAATGTGCGTTTGATGGAAGACCTAACGATAATAATAATAATAATGATAAAAACGATGCTTATAATACAAGCGCTTACCACCAAAGTCTCGAAGCGCTATAAGTTCGATAAGTTCGAATCTAACATCCTCCCCCCCCCCCCAAAAAAAAAAAAAAAAAAAAAAATTGGTGGACGCAGTTCTGATAATCCACAATTTAATCACCTCCTAACATCCGACTAAATAATAAAACGTATGAGGCAAACAAACAGACAAGCTAACCGTATCGCCATATTCTGAAATTCTTGTCAATTTACCATCATTAGTCTCAACAAGAATTCGTAGAAAAAGAATTGGTGGATCTTCTTTCGAAAGTTAAAATGACATATCAAGGCTAAAAGAGATAAGAGCATTATCTGTCACAAGATGAATTCATTCATGACCCTCGCTTCCCAGAAACATCGGATAATATGTAAGAATGCTAAAAGGATTAATTCAGCATTCCTATAGAAACATATATGGCTGGTTTTAAATTTAAATGGATTGGTTAACTTTGCCTTAGATTCTAAAACAAAATCCTGGATTTAGCTCATGCTACAATGATAATTATAAACCTTTAGGTCAGTCAGGAACCCCATGACTTTTACAAGCCGATCGCCGGTCTGATTATCAAGACATTTATGATTGGAAATCAGATTTTGCGTTTTCCTAACGGCTTTCATAACACTACTAGTCTATTGGGGGAAATGAGTATGGTAAAACCGGTCACTCAAATATTTTTCCTTTTTTGAGGCACTTGATGATCATTTCGAAGCAATATTTTTAGGGCTTTAATATTACACCACATTGCAGACATTGATAACACGTAGGGCCATGCATCTCAGATTTAAAATTAATAAACGATGCCTTTAAGCTAGATATATCTTCGTAAATTCTGTTTCTCTATCTCGGCTCTCTTGCAAGTTTGACTTCTGAAAGATATTCTGAAGTGAGACTGTGTCTTTAAATCTTGGATATTTTCACATACGCATGAACAGCGGCGGATCCAGGATTTGAAAATCGCGGCGACCGATAGTTCGTTCAGTGGGGGTGGGGGCTAGTGGAGCACTAAATAAACAAAAAAGACCCCCACCCCCCCCCCCCCCCAAAAAAAAAAGACCCCCCAAAAAATCAAAAGTAAAAGGTAAATTTGTAGTAACCATCTTTTTTAAATACTTTTTTAGGGGGCCGTCTTTTTTCAAAACTTTTTTTGCCAGGGGGGGGGGGGGGGCGGGCCAGTCTCTCTCCCCCCCCCCCCCCGTGAATCCGCGCCTGCGAATTTACATGCATACAAGCCTCATTTTAGAACCAATAAAAATCAATTTAATTTCATCTCTGAATACTTTTACATGTATTTACCAACTTGACAGGATAATCGAAATATCTTTATTCTGACAAATGATATGCAAAGTTGTCAAAGTAGACATGAGAGTCATGAAGAGATAAAGCATGGTAATTCGAGCTCCGATATCAACAACAATAACTGAAAGCAAAATATATATATATTTTTTTTTACTCACCGTTTTAGTGGACATCTTTTGTGTATATGATTGGCGTTTTCTGCATCCATAGCAACACGTCACCCAGCCTGCACAGCATCTTGAGCAACCTCCACCCATTGTGTTAAGCTTGGTGACGTCACTCTTGTTCAGCCACTGATATGTCAGAAGTTACTGCAAAAGATGAGGAACATTATGAAATATTAATTAGAAAACAATAAAATGAGGAGGCGTTATGGCTCAGCGGTATAGCTGTGGTCTCATAGCTGGGGGGGGGGGGGAGGGGGGAGGGGGGGGGGGGGTCCTGGATGCGAAACCAAGTTGATATACGCTAACGCACCTTGGTGTGGCATTACACCTCGTGACAATGCCCCTCGGATAGGACTTATCGCCTTAGGTCCGTTCGATAGCTTAGCTCCGAGATTGTACTTACCTCCTCAGCAGTCAGGTAAAATAAACCCAAACAAAATATCGATTAATCAATTGAGAATTAATGAAGCTTTAAAGAGTCTTTAAAACAAATATAGACCGGATCGGAAATGAATTTTTGTCGGCGTATTTACATCATGTTTGCAATGGGAACGATTTAGCATTTGTTATTGATATCAAGTTTTATTGAAGCAGGGCCCTGATCAGGGATATCAATCGACCAAAATTCTCTAAACTTTTAGAACAGTCCTTTAAATTTGTTTGTGATTCATCTTGGAATATCATCAACCCTGGGGAAAACTCTTAATCAAAGCTTCGCCAAAGTTACTTGCTTTGACAAGGTCACGGGTAAACCACGGAGCTAATACTTTTCTCACGGTGATGTTATTTTCAAAGCGGAAACATGAGTGAAGGCCATAGGGAAAGTTGTGAAATACTGAATTATTGTATCATTTTAAAGTCCTAAGTCATTTGAGCGTCGGAAGTATATTTACACTAGACTGCAATATATTACAATTATATGTGTGATAATCAATATTTCAATATTATATAAAAGGTAACATAATACTTAAAACTTTCATTGGGGTATTAATCGTAACATATGAATCAGGATAAAGCAGACAGAACTGCAAAAAATCACTAGGCTCGAGAAAATGAAGTGAATAACAGTTTGCTTACGTAGTTTGAAGGTGAATGGGAGCTTAAAATACAATGTACACGTCAGGCCATTAAGGGAAAACCCAAACTGATTTTGCCTAATGCATTGTATTGAAAAATCTAGACAAACACAGGTTATACAACATAAATGAATCAGATTCAGATAATCTTTATACATTTATCTAGATGAGGATGGCTTATCGGAGTTTGATTATCATTTGCTTTTGAAATACAACAGGTACAATGAAAGGAAACGATTATGATAAAAAGAAATAAAAGAAAGTATGGGGAAATAGAGTTGGGGGGAGAGAGAGAGAGAGAAAGAGAAAGGGAGGGAGAGAGAGGGGAGGGAGGGGGGAGGGAGGGAGAGAGAGAGAGGGAGAGAGAGAGTGAGACACAAAGAGAGAGACAGACAGACACAAAGAGACATAGAGAGATAGAGTGATAGAGAGGGGGAAGAAAGGGGAGGGGGCAGGGAGGAGAAATATGGTGGGAGGAGAGGGACAGGGGGTGGGGCTACAGTTTGAGACCGGGAAGGATTGGGTAATCGCCCTTCGTGAAGTATCATTACACCGGGATTAAGAAAACAAATACTTGAAGGACTTAAGAGAATCGCATTTAAATCCTTTCAATTGTAACTGAAGATATGATTATGTTACATCAAAGCTTCATACTACATGCAACATCATAATGATGACACATTCTTAAGTAATACACATGGGTTAAATCATTACAGGATCACGTGACACTGACACGGGGGGGGGGGGGGTGTTACCGTTACATACACCAGACTGCCAAGAAAACTTATAACAAAAGAGCAAATCATTTTCCATAGTCCTAGCTTACACAAACTAAAACAGAATTACAACAAAGCTTTTTTTGTACCAGTAAACAAAATCATAAATACAACATAATTCGTTGTTCATAATTTCACAATATATATGACTAAAATATAACACAATCACATAGTAGGATAATATTATCGCACTACACACAGTGATAGCCTTGTATGATTTATGACGCATCTTTACCAACTTAAAAAAATGTGCTGGTTGATGACCTAGTTGACTTTGATATTCAAAGGACGTTCCTCTAAAGGCTACCATACTTTTTTCCTGTTCCACTAAGATAAGTAGTCCGAGGCCTCAGCCATTTTCATACGGAATCACTTACTGTCGATTTTAAAAGAAATATAATTTGACCGTTATTCATCACGTGGCGTTGTAGGTACACGCCTAATTACTCCGACAGTTTATCAGGATATTGATTCACTTTTAAAACATCCTGCGAATGTGGGTAATTAACCTGATTTCCATGCATGTCTGATCTATTGGTAGTAACAGTGATAATTATGTTTTATACAGGCGATACGAATGGCACCAATGTTCCCTGTTTGTTAGGTATTACCGGGACATATTGTCATGTTGTTGCACATCATCATTTTGCATAATCTAGGTTTAATAAATGAAAATTTAATTGTTGCACCAGCATTGGTATAAAGATGGAATATATTTCAATGGATTAATACAATAAAAACCATGGTAAAATCGATCAAAGTGTATCTTTGCCTTGTATATCACACACACACACACACACATGCACACCATGTGTCTTTTTAATCCACCTCGACAAATTGGCACCCCTCCCCCGCGCCGAGGAAAGGGTCTCCTCTTTGGCTAGGCCTCTGTATGTCTGTTATCCATGTATCTCGTGTTGAGGCCAGTAGAAAGGGCCGCCATTCGGACAAATGACAAATCACATTTGACGTTAATTATGACGGCTCTGACAAAAGTGAAGCGTTCTCCAATGTGTCTATTGGATGTATGAGGGTCGTTATTACCTACTAATCTTATACTATGCTCTCGTTAACTTTTTCTTCTGGCGACAACCGGGGCAGGGGTGCTAGGTCAAATCTCACTAGTGATAATGATGTCCCACTGTCATTTGGTTATCAGGATTATCATCGTGAAGTATGTCAAGTTCTACTTCTGTGTCATCTCAGTTCGAACGTCATGATTGACCTGTATGGTCGTGATAATATCCTTCACTACCAAACCTATTGCAATTTTTAAGGGAGGGTGGGGGGGGGGTGTGTCATGAGTGATATGGGTTCTAAAAAGTTTGCAATACTAAAATGGGTTGGATAATATGGAGGCGTATTTACGTTGTTTGGTCAGCGTGAAAGATAATTTCAGAGACCTTTTAGAGAACCATTCGGAGTAAAAAGTCTGGTCCATTCAACCGTCGCCTCATCTTTGTTTGTCTATCTGTTCCCCTTTTTTTCTTTTTTTCTTCCTTTCTCTCTCTCTCTCTCTCTCTCTCTCTCTCTCTCTCTCTCTTACCCCTTCTCTCTCTTATCCCTTTATCTCTCTCTCTCTCTCTCTCTCTCTCTCTCTCACTTTCTTCATTCCTAGTCTACCCACGCTTACCCTCATGAAGAGGAAATTCTCCAGAACGAAGCTATGTTAACCTACATTGTGATGGAAACCTACTAGCACTCGCGTTATCTGTCAAGTCTGTTTGTAACCAATTCTGGTACCTCCTTGGTGTAACTCAGTTGGATGCATGAATCATGCCTATTTTAAAGAGAAAATGATACGTGTCTAATGGCCAACTTAAAGCGCTGAGAGAAATATTTTCCCCAAAACGTTTTACCTTCTCTAACACGTCTGTAAGGGCTCTTTTACCCTACCCTGGTTCCGCGTATGTGAGCAATCATTAAATAAGTGATATATCTGGTAAGACAGAAAATTATTCCTTTTTAATTTACTAGAATGATGGAATCCTTTCCCAACTGACGAGACAATAATAGTCCCTACTTCTTGTTTATAAAAATAAAACCACCATGATAAAATGTGCGAACCTGATGATTATTGTTGATGTTGTTGTTGCTCTTGTAATTTGCTTTGTTCTTCTCCTTCTACTTCGTCTTCTTCTTCTTCCTTCGTCTTCTTCTTCTTATTATTATTCTTTTCCCGCTTCTTCTTCCTCTTCCACTTCTTTTTTCTTCCTTAATCGTTCCCAATTTTCAAATCTTCCCTTGATAAAGTTCGTGTCAATTAATCACTGCTAGAATCGCATCATTGAAATTAATCAGCAATTAAAACTACTCCAGTTGATTGTTTACAGCACTTAATATTATCAGTTATCAATAATATTAATGCTGTTTATTATCTTTACTGTGCACGTAAACTTACTTGAAAGTCACGTTATAATGGATTAAGAGTCAAGTGAATGATCACGACAGCTCAACTTAGTTGAGAATACACGCTACTCTTTTACACGAACAGTTGACTCTAAGCTTTTTACTCCTAGTGATGTACCCTGGATGGTTAAAGATAAACTTGAGTTCTGGTAATGCGATTGCATTGCGAAAGAAAAGGTGTGGAATGGATCAGAAAAGTTGATCATATAGCATGTAAGAAAGGGTGTGTAATGCAAGGTTCTGGAGTCATCATAATGATCATAAATTTGGCAGAGTCTTGGTAAAGTAACAATCACTTACACAGAAAGATGTATATGGGACAACACACATGGTGTCGGGGCTGGTACTACCCTGATTTCCTTATCTTTCTATGCTCATTACTCAGCCAGTATACATTTTCTTCCAAAATTGTTTGGCACATGACATTTATTTGTAATCTTGAACATTCAGTGTAAGTTTCGTTAGATTCTGTGAGAATTCATTTTCTTTTTTTACCAGAACTCAAGTTTATCTTTAATTGCCGATTGGTCTACAACCAGTCCGTCTACTACCCAATATAATTGGTCTATTCCAACATGATCTTCACCAAGTCCTCCTACTATTTACAAACGGTCTAATAATCATTCTTTATACTTATCATTTGGTCTAATGTCCATCTAGGCTAAAAGTCATTTGGTCTAATTTCAATGCAGTCTAATCTCCAATAAGTCTATTACCCACTTGGTCTATTGCTCATTTGGTCTAATCTTTAGTCGATTTAATTCCAAGTTTGTTTAATGCCAATTTTGCCTACTATCCATAGGCCTAATGATGATTTTATAATCATTTAATCATAAAAAATACTAATAAGCAAATGCTTTATAGACCATGATATAGATGGTAG